GTAGTATGTTTATCTCAATATAATCTGGATAGTTCATGAACAGGCTTTACAGTATTGGAAACAAGGTCTGTGGTTAGTCATTTACCTTTTGTAAATCCTCCACCCCAGCATGCACACAACTGCAAACGAGGCACACAATATTAATATTTCATGAAATCTTAGACAAATTCAATATAGTCATGGACCTCTGCCATGCCACATCACCTTGCTAAATCCAATATAAGGAATTAATCCTACGAGAGAACTGCACAACTCCATCTCTGTAAAATGCTCTGTAGCTACAGTACTTAACCTGATAGATGGGGGAAATGTTACATAATACTTAAGTTATAGAACACTTGAGACTTCTCATAAGCATCTTAAAAAATACACACTTGTCCCCTTCAATTCTTACTCTTACGGACACTTGATGTGTGTCTACTTCAGTTATTCATATCTGACGACTGAAGAAACGGGATCAAAGTTGAGAAGTTTTGGGTATTTGTGCTGGTTATTAAATTTAACTTTTTTTCATGAAAAGAATGCCAGATTAATATAGCAAATATGCCCTGGATTTGAATAAATACATACAAACTGAAAAAACGTTTTAACAGATAAAGTCAAAAAGCCATAGTTAGCTACTGTAAAACCAGATATTCCATATCTGGAACATTATCATGAGGTGACAGGTTTAATAGCTATGTCGTCAGTTGAAGAAGGACTTTAACCAAAGGACTGCAATATGGAAATTTCATATGTATTTTACACTGTAACTAGAAAAACTGTAACAGTCAATATCCTACCACTGAACAATGAGCTCTTCTGTACGAGCAATTTTCTAGAAAATACATACATCAGAAAAATAAAAGTTAAGCTTTGCACTTCTATTGTATCTTCCAACTGAGGATATCAATAAATCCACACCTTCTCAATGCACAATTGGATTACTAAAGTACATTCTCAAGCCCTTTATTCATTTAAATGTAATATTATTCAAATAATGGGGCTTCTACTTTAACTAGGAGATTATTCCACAATCTAATAGAATTTACTGGTGTAATTTTCATCATATCAAACCAATTTTTCCTTTTCTTAATTTCATTCCAATACTCTTGCTGCACCTCTTGGACAGAATTAAAAACTATCTAGGTATTTCAAACACATTCAAATCAGGTAGCTGAATGCCAGTTCCTCTCTCTATTTGGTGATCAGACTCTACAAATACTTGTAAATTGTTCAGTAATTATTTGGTCAAGTTAAAGACTCCATCTATATTCAAGAGCAAGTTTCTTTTCAAAATTAATTACTTTGTATTTCACACCAGAGTCCTTTAAGACAGTGGAGCTATTTGAAACAAATATTTATTTTTGTTCCTTTTTGTGAAGTTCAAAAAGTCATTTTGCAGAAGCAGCACAGAGTCTTGAGATTTGAAGAAAAATATGATTGAGAACAAGAGCATAGAACACATCATATAAAATAGCATATTTGAATATTTTTCCATGTAGAAACCATACCCTAAACTTGATATCTGCCTCAGAACTTTAACAAGAATGAGTAATTAGTGCACAAAAATCTGACCAAAATTTTTCTACTTAGCCTCAATAAAAAAAGTTTCAAATTTAGTAGTTCTGCTATCTTACTAAAAACGAGTTTGTTAGAGACTCTACAACAGATACAAAATATAGGTGCTATATTTAAAGAAATACAGGCACTTTTAAAAAGACAACCTCCATATTTGTTTTTAATCTAGGAAAGCACCGGTGCAACATTCCTGTTATTGAAGATGTGATTTCAGTCCAGTTGTTGAGCTGGGTTGACTGAAGACACAAGGGGGGAATTCATAGGAGCACTGAAGCCACTTTACAATAGCATAACAAAGCTAAAAAGCAGCTGTAAGTCCCATCCTCAGGATAGCAGACTTCCCTGATAGGTACAAAGACAGCTCTGCAACGTATCAAAAGAGCTCCGGTGCGGGAGACATGAGGGCCAATCCTATGCCCAGGTTATTTTTCAGTGCTAATAACAGAGCTAATGCAGAGGTGCAACTCAGGGAAGTCCTGAGGAGTTGCCCTAACCTGGACTGGGGGACAACTCAGTTCCTCGAAGACCTAGGCAAGAAGGCACAACCCACTCAGTTGCTACACCAGAGTCTGCACTGGTGCAGCAATGGAATCTAACTGAAGGAGATTAAATAATTTGGCCCAACATCACACAGTCCGTTTCTTGGGAGACTAGTGTTTAGGACGGTGGTACGTAATTTTTTGCAGCAGCAAAGGCTGTAATGGCATCTTGCCGGAAACTCAATAGCTACAATTAATTTACACACAAATTTGTTTAGGTCTTTATAGATAAATACTAAATAAATGTGTATTTCTCTTGGAAAGTGCTCTGTACTTACTTGTATAACTGCACACCGCACTTAAGACAAAACATGTTTTGTGTCTCAGTGTTAATGGAAAGACTGGCACTAATTCTCTGAAATCAACTATCCGATGGCTAGTTGTATTTTCAAGATGACCATATGGATTACAGAAGGCAGATTTGAGGCTGTTAGGCACATTGCAATATTCTGATTTTTCCAAATCACTTTAAGTCAGGGCCGGTGCAAGGAAGTTTCGCGCCCTAGGTGAAACTTCCACCTTGCCATCCCCCCTTCCCCCACAGCCCTGCGGCAGCTCCCCGCACCCCCCCGCCCTGAGGTGCCCCCCCTCCGCAGCAGCTGCCCCCCCCCCGCCCTGAGGCCCCTCCCCGGGAGCCGTGCGGCAGCTCCCCACCCTAGCTCACCTCTGCTCCACCTCCTCCCCGAGCACGCCGCCCCCGCTCTAATTCTCCTCCCCTCCCAGGCTTGCGGCGCCAAACAGCTGATTGGCGCTGCAAGCCTGGGAGGCGGAAGAAGTGGAGCGGCGACCGTGCGCTTGGGGAGGGGGCGTAGGAACGCTGTAAAAAAAAAAAAAAATTGGGGGCACCGCTTTTCGGAACCCCCAAATCTTGGTGCCCTAGGCAACCGCCTAGTTTGCTTTAATGGTAGCACCGGCCCTGCTTTAAGCAGATCTTTACCAATATGACATACTTCCAGAGAGGTCATACAAAGAGTAGCCCTCTTACACAACCCTTGATATCTGTCCCAAAGCAAGCCTTAATTTGGATCAAGGCACTTGGGGGATTGCCTTCAGTGTTAGCTTCAGGTACTCCTGTCAACATACAAATCTCTAGCTCAAATACAGTGGTGCTTTAAACTTCAACTAGCTGACCCATCAGGGAGTGCAGGTTGAAGCTCGAACACTGCTGATGCTCAAGCTAGTAATATAGTGGGGATGCAGCTATAGGCTACAGTTCACCATGTTAGCACAACTCATCAGTTGCTAAGCCAATCGATCTGTGTTTCACAGTATGGATGCTCTCACTCAAGCTAGGCTAGCTGGAGTGGGGTAACTTGAGCTAACTGTTTCAGTTAAGATAATCCCTAAAATAATCATTTCTGGTTGAACTTTACCCTCAGCTTCTTTTAGTTTAGCTGGAAGTATGTCTGCAAACAACTTCAAATTTGTTTCTCTTGAAAGTCACCAAGTCACTGATCAAATGAATCTTGAAACTTCTTATTCCCTTCAGCAAAGGGACAACTGTCACCCTAACTTAAGCATTTGTTGGAAAAGTCACTCCACTAAAGCAGTCACATTAAAGCTGAAGCTGCAACCACCATAAAGGGAGGAATGGTGCAGGGTTGAAGCACAAGTCTTGCGATGATGACGCCCCGAATTCTAATCCTACTGTGATTCCCTTGGCGGCCTTGGGCGAGTCACAACAGTGACCTACAAATAACTTTTATAAAAATGGCACTCCACTTTTTGCGTCTTTATGATCATGCAGAAGTCTGCTTGTTTTACCTCATAAATATCAAGAATGTTAAGTCTAGTCTTCTGTAGAACTGGTGAAGTATCTCTTAGGACTCTCAGACTATGTATATCATGACCTCTCATACTGTCATGGAAGAAGCAATGCTTCTGAATCTTTAACAAAAACATTCTTTTTTCAAAATATTTTATAGTTGGTGGAATTAAATGGGTAAAAGACCCAAAGAATTAAAAGCAGTGATTAAATATTCCTCCTCTTTTAGTTGCTAAGCTTTCAGTCACTTGGATCTTGTGCTTAGTTTTACTGATTCTCCAGTCACTAATGAGTCTTTCAGTGTAAGCAAGATCTGTGTCTAATGTAAAAAGAAGCAGACCAAAAAAAAAATTCTGGCTTTTTCAGCCTTTATATTATAAAGAAGAAAAAAAGATACAAACTTTTCTCTTTTGCAGAATACCTTTAATTTCCTTCGAGTTTCCCCAAGAGCCATACCCCCTCACAGGGGGGTTTGTGAGGATTAATGTTTGTAAAATGCTTTGAACAGGGAAAGTACTATAAGTAATAAGAAAACTATAATGCTTATCAACTAGCTTATGTCATTGTCCTTTTGCAGAACTACCAAGTTTCTCTTAATCTGATCTATATATATATATATATATGAATGAACGATTCTTTAACGCATTTTACAAAGAATTTAACTTAGCATTAAAAAATATGAAGAGTCTAAATAGCAGAAGAGGGGATGGGGTGGAAGATGGCTATTTGCCACCTTTCAAGATCCCCAATCCAGGGACTGCCAGGGCCCAAACTGCCAGATATAATTTAGAATAGGCTAAGATTGCTCTAAGTTACCTCAACTGTAGCGGCCCCATAGGAATCGCTCGCCAGACAAAGGTAGCAAGGACAGCTGAACTCTCCAAGTCTATCCATTCTCACCACACCAAATGGCATATAGCTGGCTTTACACCAGCCAATGATACCTCTGCCCTGGGGGAATCAGCTGCCTCTTCAGGTGGCTTTGTGCCCTTTTGTGCCAGTAGAGCAGGTTGAGGATTTATCTCCTGTTCGTTTGTTTGTTTACTTTTGTCGATCTCTACAGTCTGAAACAACCTAATCACTTAAATCATTGCACTGTTTTAGAAGTGTTTTTGGGATAAAATTCCATGATTCAGGTTTTTTTTTTTTAAACTAACACACAATTTGGAATAAATATGTAACCCTTGATTTCACCAATGAGGCGTGCTGATTCTAAATTTCAGTGTGAACAGTCACGACGTCCTTGCGGTTTTCAGTATTCTTGACCTATGCATTTTGCAATTGTACTCAGCTGGATATTTGAAGTTCCTTCATATATTGTACCTGAAACAAACCAAAGGAAATAAAACTGAACTAAGCATATTAACAGTAATTTAAATCCTTGTTCTAAAGATCCAAATAGAGCTCTAAGACAATAAAGCAAAGATTCATATTAACAACGAGAAGCAGAGCTGATATTCACATAAAATATTAAAGTATTTTACTGTTGACTACAATGAAGCAAACTTTCTTGTTGGTATATAATATCAATAATCGACTTATTTTGGGGGGTAAGAAATTTCCCTGAACAGCAATTTCCACATTTCGAGTCAAATTTGAAAGTATTTACAGTTGACATCAGCCATTAAAGCCAGAAGTCAGTCTAAAACTGTCAAAACTATCAAAGTGACTTAGTACGGGACTTAGAAGCGTAAGTGGCTAAGTAACTTTTGAAAGTGAGACTTGTACCCCTAAGTCACTTTGACACTTTTTAACTCAAACTCTCTCCTCCCTCTTATGGTTTCAATTTTATTTTTAAGTACCTTTGATTCATTTGAACTGAAATTTGGATTGAACAGTAATATTCACACTAAAGCAGTACACACACACTTTTTTTTTTTAAACACTGAATTAAATATGATAGACAGACTGGCTCATATACCTAGATATTTCTGACCCTTATCAGTGTCATATCTCAGTATTAATTTGCTGAAAGGAAAATATCTCTGACAAATTGGTATCCAGGTAATTGAAACACAACCTTGAAACAATACCAAACCCAAGTCTATATTATATATTCATAAGAAATTGCTGCTTACCAATTTTGCAGTCTCTGTAGTATTTTTCAATTGGATAATCTTTTGTGAATCCAACTCCACCCATCCATTCAATACATTTACTAGTTGTCAGTGCTGCAACCTAAGGAAAATTAGATTCACAATTACCATCCCAGGACACACCTTTGCCAAGAAGTCAGTCAATGTCATTGTTCCATCTAATTTCAGAAAAACAAAGCAATAATTAAAGCAGCAATTGGAGGGAAAAGGAAAGAATGGAGATTTTAGCCACCTATCCTGTGCAAACTTTGTAAGAATGTTGTTTGTGCACCAATTTAAGGTTCATTCTCACTTCACCCACCTGATGACATGAAGAAGTCAGAATAGTTATTTGCAATAGTCCCTTCCCTACCAAGAAAGAGACTTTAATTGCTGTATTGGCTACCATTGCAAGTGAAAAGGAAGTGATTCTATGCCCATAGTTCAGCATATAAAATCCAAAAATGTCTATCATTATGACTGGGAGAGGCATTCTTGACCAGAGATTAATTCCCCTCTACCTTACCACAGCAGTGAATCCTGAGGTGATGGAATCTTTCAGAACATCTCCTTGTGGGTGATTGCTAGTATTTGAGGTTTTATTGAGTGGATAAATAATACTACACTTCCTTTCTTTAATTCTGCTGTTTGAGATTTTTTTGTATTTTATTTAAGGGGGTTATACTGTTTATCCCTCAGTTGTCCTACTTTCATCCCATCTGAAAACTGCATGTTGGAAACAAGAGAAAACTATGCTCAATTTACAAAGAACACAAGTTATTAAAAAACATATTTAGCAAAAATATGGCTTTAAAACTAACAGCAAGTGAACTAAATGTACCAAATAAAAAAATGTTTGGTTACCTCTGCAGCATAATACTTGGCCATGCTTGCCTCTTTTCTGAATGGCCTTCCTGCTTCTACGAGTCGGGCTGCATTATAGGTCAGCAACCTTGCAGCTTCCAGCTGGGTGGCCACTTCAGCTATCTGATGTTGCATTCCCTATAATAAGCAGGCCTGACGTTAGACAGAACTTACAACACATCTAAGTATTATCCAGCTGCCTAACTTCAATATGCAGCAAAATGTGTATTGCTTTTCAAAGCTTTAAACCTACATTCTGAAACAAAACATGATTACACATGGATTAGTAAAAGGTCATCCCCTCCCACCTCCTTTTTGCACTTTCAGAGGTGGTGAGACTTTATCTGGGCCAGCAGGAGAGAGAAAAATCTGGGCCCCTTGAAAAATTGCATCTGCCTTTTTTCTTCCCTTCCTCCTGGATACTCAGCTTCATGTGGTTGAGGAGGGAGCTCCTTGGCTGATTGGCTGGATAGAAGGTTGCACTATAAGGCTATTGGCTCCTGGGTACTCAAGAGTGGACTAATAAGCTTTTTTCCTTGCCCGGATCCCATTCTACATCCTGATCAAAACTTCCCTCCCCTCACAATCGGAGAAGAATTGGATTTTGGGGCCTTGCTGTGGACATCACACTAATAGACTTTTGGGGGCTGGGAATGAATACCTCTCTCACTGCCTGATTGATCTGAGCATTCATTCCCTCCCCACTTCTCCTCCCCCCAAGCCAACCTTCCTCACAGCAACACAGGGACCCAATGGGCACATTAGGTTGTAAAATTTGTTACAACTTGGTAAGTTGAAATCAAAATATTAAAATGGGTGAACTCAAGTGCCTAGTATTAAATGAGGATATTGATACAATAAGCATCACAGAAACTTGGTGGACCAACGATAATCAATGGGACACAGTAATATCAGGATACAAACTAAAGAGGAATAAGAGTAGGTCATGCTGGTGGGAGAGTGACACTATATATGCAAGAAAGCATAAAGTCAAATATAATCAAACTGTACTATAGAATCTCTATGGATAGAAATTCCATGCTTGAATAATAAGAGTATAGCAGTAGGAATATACTACTGACCACCTGATCCAGATAGTGATGGTGATTGTGAAATGCTCAGGGAGATTAGAGAGGCTACAAAAATAGAAAACCCAATAACAATGGGAGATTTCAACTACTGCCCTATTGACTGGGTACATATTGCCTCAGGACAGGATGCAAAGATAAAATTTCTAGGCACCATTAATGACTACTTGTTGGAGCAGCTAGTCCTGGAACACACAAGGGGAGGCAATTCTTGATTTAGTCCTAAGTAGAGCAAAGGATCTGGTCCAAGAGGTGAATATGGCTGAACCATTCAGTAATAGTGACTCCAACGCCATTCCCCACCTTAAGGAGATGACTTCTTCTAATGTACTTCCAATTCTGGAATAGCAGTGAATCATGCCTCCGCTGAATGAGTACTTGCACTAGACACTTAAGAACATAAGAATGACCACACTGGGTCAGACCAATGGTCCATCTAGTCCAGTATCCTGTCAGGTGTTAACTAACATATAAAATAGATGCACAAACAGATACACCATTAGATCTGCAGAGCGTATATGCCAAATTAAGGCTTATCTGAATTTCTTTTCAATTTGCCATTCACAGACATTGAGAAGGAGAGACATTAAATAACACAAGCGCACTATAGTTATTCAATCAAATGACTCATTCCTGACATTTTCTATGATGATTACTACTCTTTTAAGTAGACAGTTTTTAATATATACACTGATGAATACCTGAAAATCAAATATGCTTTTCCCAAACTGGACTCTCTCCTTTACATATGGAATAGTGTGGTCAAAACATCCCTGTGCCAATCCCAACATCTGTGAATGAACAGAGAAACAAAGATTACACTGAGTAAACAATTTGTACATTTAATGTACCCAACGGAGGTAATAATTACAGTAATTCTTTTTCTGGGCAGATGGTGTGCCTTTTTAATTTTTCGGCATTCAAGGAGATGAGCTTAGTTTTTCTCTGTAAAAAGAAATATGATCTGTGTAGTATCAGGAATAATGAAACCAAAGATGACGTAAATACAAAATATAATAAAACAATTCTAATCAGAACCTTAGTCGAGGTTTTACTACTGTTAGAATTCTTGTCCAGGTGAGTCATGATAAAGAGTCATGATGAAGAATAAACCTATTCCATAACCATCTGGATGTACAGTGAAGTCCTGTAAATCAAGGCAAGATATTAGTGAAAATGATGTAGTGAACTTCTTCAGTAAAATTCAGAGGCGTCAAAGGATGGCCCAAGTAATCTTTTCTAATCTCAGTATATGATTCTGTGAAAAGCCCTAACTGCTTTAGACAGGAAAATCACTGTATACTAAACAGTGAATAAATATAAATATATATACTACCTATAGAAATTCAATTCCAATCAAATTATTTTGCTGTTATGAAGGTGCCAGATTGACAGCATAAAAAATTAGAGTACTTCATCTACAGAACTGGTACAGAGGAGGTGGCAGTAGCGCAAGCTTCCTTATAATGTTCTGGAGAGACCACCTTTAGAGGACAGTTTTAGGAGATCTGATGCCTATTCAACCTTTAGCAGCTCTACTGAAGCTACCAAAAGGGCAGCCAGTTGTGATGTGGATGCCTGTTTACTAGCAACTGGAGTAATAGTAACAATTAACTTCATATAGGCTGCCCAAGAGCCATACAGCAAAACTTTGAATCATCACCTATCTAGCTAGGCTGGATGAAAATTAGTGACCTAGAAATTGAAAGTACTGCAATACAAATCCCCTGAGCCTTTGATTCCCTGAACATGCTGTCTCAAATATCTAACATGTTAGATTAACTCATTTAAACTCTTACTCCTACCTAACGACTCAAAACTGAATGTCATAGGATACAGGTACACGTTTTTCCTTAACACCAGCTCGGACCACAAATTGAATATGAGCCAAGAATGTGATGAAGTTGCAAAAAAAAGGAAGAAAAAAAAAAAAGCTATTATTCTGGAGAGTATTGACAGGCGTGTTTTACATAAGATATGGAAGGTAATTTTTCTGCTCTACTCGGCACTGGTGAGGCCTCTCCTGGATTATTGTGTCCAGTTTGGGGCACCACATTTCAAGAAGGATGGGGATAAAGTCCAAAGGAGAGAAATAAAAATTATAAAAGATTTAGAAAACCTGACCTATGAGGAAAGGTTAAAAAATGGCCTTTAGTCTTGAGAAAAAAAAGACAACTGAGGGGGGACCTGAGAAGTCTTCTAATATGTCAATGGCTTTTATAAACATGATGGTGATCAGTTGTTCTCCATGTCCAGTGAAAGCAGGACAAGTAGCTATCAGCTTAATCTGCAGCAAGGGATTTATGTTAGACATTAGGAAAAAAGATAGTTAAGTACTGAAATAGGTTACTGTGAGGGTTTACGCCCCTCCTTACAGGGCAGCATGGCCTAGTGGCCAGAGTCCATAGGATAAACCCTTGTCGCAGGGTAGCACAGCCTAGTGGCCAGAGTCCATATAAGCGCCCCTTGTCGCAGGGTAGCACGGCTTAATGGCCCAAGTCCATATAAGCGCCCCTGGTTGCAGGGTAGCACGGCCTAGTGGCCCAAGTCCATATAAGCACCCCTTGTCGCAGGGTAGCACGGCCTAATGGCCCGAGTCCATATAAGCGCCCCTGGTTGCAGGGTAGCACGGCCTGGTGGCCTGAGTCCATATAAGCGCCCCGGGTTACAGGGCAGCACGGCCTAATGGCCCAAGTCCATATAAGCGCCCCGGGTTGCAGGGCAGCAAGGCCTAGTGGCCCAAGTCCATATAAGCACCCCTGGTTGCAGGGTAGCACGGCCTAGTGGCCCAAGTCCATATAAGCGCCCCTGGTTGCAGGGCAGCACGGCCTAGTGGCCCAAGTCCATGTAAGCGCCCCTGGTTGCAGGGCCGTAGGACCTTACTACTACTGGCTCAGCGAGGGGGTCCTACCGAAACATGCTGAGGCTTACCGGGGTCAAGGTACCAGTCCGTCACCTCCCCCGGGTCGCTCCCTACCAGCTGGGGAATTGGGGTCTCCCATGGATCCCAGGGCTCTCCGTGAGTCTCCGGATCCGTCGCCTCCTCTGGTTCCTCCCGCAGTAGGGGTTCGTGCCGACCGATAAAAGCCTCTGTTCCTGACAGCTCCAAGAGCGTCAGCTGGTCCTCTGCAGGAGCTCCCCAGTTAGGTCCTTCCCCTGCGGCCGCCAGCCCCGACTGAGCTGAGTTCCCTCCTTTTATACTCCGTGAGCATCTGGAGCATGCCCAGTACGAACGGGGCGGGACTTCCTCTGTCAGAGCTACTGGTCTGACGTCGCTGGGGCCAGTGCGGGGCAGGGCTGCCCCGTCACAGTTACCAAGAGAGGTTGTGGAATCAGTCATTGGAGGTTTTTAAGAACTGGTTAGACAAACACCTGTCAAGGATGGTCTAGGTATACCTCTGTCATGCCTTAGCATGGAGGGAATGGACCTCTTGAGGTTCCCTCCAGCCCTACCTTTCTGTGATTCCACAGCCTTCTACTAATGCTAATGGGAGTTAAACGAGCATCAAAAATAGATGTAATTGGCGAAGGTGATATATTGAGCTCGAGGGCCAACTGTGTCTGAGCATACCACAAGGCTGCCACATATCATGATCCCTATTTACTATTTGGGGGGAAAACTGAAATCTCCTATAAAAAACACACTTTTAAAAACAGCATTTATGCCTGTCCCAGCTTCTGACAGACTGGTCTGAGCAAGGATGATCAAGCAAAGATTTTTCAGGTCTGGATAGAAGATTAATACTCATGAAGAATATTTTATTGCAAAGAAGATCATGAAGAAAAGATCCCACAAGCTCTCGTAGCTCTTCTTACAAGAGAGGGAATATTACGGAATCCATTAATAATAGTGAGACAATATGGGTGAAATAATATCTTTCACTGGACCAACTTCTGTTGGTGGGAGAAACAAGCTTTTGCGCTACACAGAGCTCTTCTTCTGGTATGGGAAAGGTACTCGGAGTGTCACAGTTAAATAAAAGGTTGAACAGTTAGTTTAGCATAAGTAGTTAGCACATATTCTAAGGGTACATTCAAGGTGAAGTGGCCCGTTAACATCCCTGTAGTCATAGGACAAAAAGGGGAGTTAGTGAGTTATAGATTGTTGTAATAAGCCATAAATTCAGTGTCTTTATTAAGGCCACGTTTTTTAATGTCTAGCAAAGTTATGAATTTACTAATGAGAGTCAGATGCACAATTAAACCAATTAGGATCCTAGCTGGTTTAATTCTGTATCCAGCTACAAATATAAAAGTCTCCTTTCTGCTGCTCCTAATAGGAGCAAAGAAAAAGACAAAAAATGAAACAAACAACCAGGGCTTTGGAGCAGAGCTTGGAGCTGGAGCGCGGAGCAGCTCCGGAGCAGTGGAGCTGCAGGTCTTTGCCTGCAGCTGGAACGGAGCCGGAGCACAGCTCCAAAGCCCTCCAAACAAGAGGCACATACAACAAAAAATAGAGACTGAAAGGGAGACAGACAAGAGACATGAACAGATGGTAAGAAAGCAGAATTAACAGTGATGATCCTGAAACTGGAATCTCACAAAAATACAACCCCCCCCCCCCCCCAAAAGACAACCAAACAAAAACAGCACCTTTTCCACAGAGAATTATCTGGGCTACTAGAGTATAAAGGTGGGCTACCAGAATTTGGTAGCCAACTATTTGATCAGTTTAACTATGTTACTTAACTTTTATATGGTGCTCAAAAGTGTGTTATTTTACAGACCCTTAGGAAGACAGGTCCTTGACTGAAAGCCAAGTGCCCCAATGAGAGAAGACAAGCGCCTTTCCAGTAATAAAAGGGGGGGGGGGAAGAGAGTATTTTTCAAACATGAATACAAGGGGGCGGGGAAAGACTGTATACATAGGCCAGAGCTATATAGGACAGATTACAAGGGTTATGTTATCCCAGATTCCATAGATGCTTCCTCCAGAGCCACTGGAACTCAAACAACCATTTATCCTCTACTCACTCTTAAAATTCTGGAGGAACACAGTACAAAATAAAATAAAAATAGAGAAAGGGTAGAAGAAAATATAGCTGTAGTACATTCTTAATTAGCTTCAGTATATGCTACTAGATTCCATTGCACCATTGTATATCTGAAGACAAACAAATTAGCACATGTAACATCACATATAACTATTTTACGTTAAAATTATTTGAAACTGTTTTCATAGCAACAATCACGTTTATAAGACATTCATTACCTTCTAAACTATTACTGCTGCAAAACTAAACTCAATTCTAGAGGGTTTTTAGAATTACTGTTCTTCATTCAGGCACATTTCTCTTCATTTGAAGGTGCCAAAAACAAAGTATTAGCTGAGATATAACAAATACCCATCTTAACTTTTAATTAGGTTACAACAGTAACTTGCAGTAATTAGATTAAGACTTTGACAGTGTACTTTACTGCCAGAAGAGCTATGTTATTTATATCTCTGAGAACAACAGGAGCCAGTGCTCTAGATTTTTTTAAGGCCATACCTGACAAAATTTTACCACAAATAATCTTTAAAAATGATGGAAAAGCCAACCCTATTTAGTATCATGCTACATTACCATGTGGAAAGCATGCATTTAGGCATGACCTATTACTCCTGGTCTGTCTGCCAGCAGTTGGAAAAGGAATAAGGAAGAATGATAGCCTCCAAAATGATAGGGACAGACACATCACCTCTACTTGCATCACAAAAATAGTATGTTTTTGCATTAATTAGATTTCCCTTTAAAAGCATAGGTTGAATGATAAAAAACAGCCACAAAACCAAATCAATTTTTATAGG